ATATAGTCCTGAATATTGTCCAGGACGAATGTAAACTCTCAGTACTCACCAAATTATTTTTTTGCGGGGTTGAGCTTCGGCGTTTACACCCAAAAGCAGGGTACAGCTGTCGGCGTATATCCTTGGGACCAAAGTCCACTACGGGCTCATGCTATTTGGAACTTTTTGTTCCAGGTAGCGAATCTTAAACAACAACAACATCCCTGGGAGAGTAACTTGCTTGGTGTTGGGCTCAACACTTATCAACCTGTAGAGGGTTACTGAGATTACCACAAGTGCTTACTAACCAAGACTTGCAAGTGTACGTGGGATCTGAGCACAGTCCAGAGCCAAGGTCAACAATCAGTGCTGTTGTTGTTGTTGTTAAAGATTTGCTACCTGGAACAAAAAGTTCCAAGTAACACGGGCTATGGTGAGCCTGCAGAATCAGTGCTATTCACCCATAAGCTAAGTACATCTTATAGTGTAGATATCCCTTGAGGGTAACTATATTTTACTAATCTTAATACAAATTTACTGATGAACTAAAGCATGAAATACGGCCTAAATGATAATATAAACGAATTATTCACACAAAGTATTCACATAGTGGAAGTTATCATTCAGATTTTACCCCATTAGGCTGTAATCATCAGTGAACCTCTTAGGTATATTCCCCCGCTACAACTGGTCACTGCTATATAAATTAATAACATGACAATAACTATAAAATAATACGCGTTGTTAGAAATACAATGGTCAATAAAATATATATTAAAAAAATCTTAGTCACAAATTTCAATTTAAATCATGATATCAGCTTGCTTAATATTTCCAGTATAACATCATAATAATCACAATGCATAGAATTATGCACTATAACCTCCTTAATGTATAGCAAGGATGATGTATTCCTTAAACATGCATAAATAGAGGGTAATTTAGTACGGCAGCAAATACATATATAACTTCACCTACAGCCTTCCTTCTCTGTAATGTCGTGTTTACGTCTAAACAAACACAACACACATATAAGATCATGAAATTCACTAACATGCTCACAATGTTTCTCACGGATTGTTTATCCTAATTCTCACTAATTTGGACAAAACTAGAGTTAACTCCAGACTAGGCTTCTTTTGCCCTCCCCGAAGGTGACCTCCTGGCCACGTCCACAGCACTTAATAATAATAATAATAATAATAATAATAATAATAATAATATTTTATTTAGGAAAAGTACATACATAGATGCAGTTACAAACATTCTGATTGATTCAGAGCTAGTACATACAATACCTAAAGCTACTAGTACGCATAGCGTTTCGGGCAAACTTAGTTATAGTTAAACTTAGTCTCGGGCATAACTTAGTTATGGCAATCACTTACTGGCCTTGTTAAAGGTGTGATCTCTTCTTTGAGTTGATAATCCACGTTGTAAGAAATAAGATGTTTCCGCACTTTTGATAGGTGATTCTGATTGGTTCTGTCGTTCGTAAGTGTGATTGGTCCTCATACTCCCAGCTGGTATACTCACAAGGATGGTTCTGGTCTATCCTACTCCAGCCCGTCCTAGCCTATGCTCGTCTGTCCGCCAGTCGACTCCAAAGACGTGTTCGTCAATTTTAATGGGCATTGAAAGCATAGATTTTCTTTAATATATATAGATGATTATATATTAAAAAAATTGGTATATGCGTAGGTTAGATGCCTCGTTGGCAATTAATACAAGGAATACAACTGTCTTGTTGGTAATTAATTGTATTAAAAATCAGTGTACTGATTTTCTCGTTGATACATCACGTTAATATGATTTATGTGTGTATTTGAACAGACGCGTTGGAGTTAAAATTCCTAGACTACAAAATCAAAGTGAATGGTGGGGGGGGGGGATGTATATGAAACCCTTGTTCGGGTTCAGTGGAAGCCTCAGAAATCCTTGAGAATTCAGTTGAATCCCTGGTTGTGAATCTTTCGAATATGTCGTGGTGTAGTGGTCTAAGGCGAGTGCTTGGGGATATTCAGAGGATAGGTTCGAATCCTCCTCACGGCTCCTACTGATTTTCTCAATAATAATGATAATTATTATTATTATTTAAAAAATATACGGAACACGGTGCAATAGTTAAATAGTTGATACATAAAACGCATATTTAATCAGGCCACAGTACTCAGCGTTTCGGGCATATATTGTTTTTGTACTGCTATTGCATATGTTATTAACATTATGGTGGACATGGCCAGCTCGGTAAGCACTTCACCTGCACTCGCGAGCACAGGCCCGGGACACCGACGCGTGACCAGTACCCAACATGACAGGGACACCGACGCGTGACCAGTACCCAACATGACAGGGACACCGACGCGTGACCAGTACCCAACAAGACAGGGACACCGACGCGTGACCCAACATGACAGGGACACCGACGCGTGACCAGTACCCAACAAGGCAGGGACACCGACGCGTGACCAGTGCCCAACAAGACAGGGACACCGACGCGTGACCAGTACCCAACATGACAGGGACACCGACGCGTGACCAGTACCCAACAAGACAGGGACACCGACGCGTGACCAGTACCCAACAAGACAGGGACACCGACGCGTGACCAGTGCCCAACAAGACAGGGACACCGACGCGTGACCAGTACCCAACAAGACAGGGACACCGACGCGTGACCAGTGCCCAACAAGACAGGGACACCGACGCGTGACCAGTACCCAACAAGACAGGGACACCGACGCGTGACCAGTGCCCAACAAGACAGGGACACCGACGCGTGACCAGTGCCCAACAAGACAGGGACACCGACGCGTGACCAGTGCCCAACAAGACAGGGACACCGACGCGTGACCAGTGCCCAACAAGACAGGGACACCGACGCGTGGCCAGTACCCAACAAGACAGGGACACCGACGCGTGACCAGTGCCCAACAAGACAGGGACACCGACGCGTGACCAGTACCCAACAAGACAGGGACACCGACGCGTGACCAGTACCCAACAAGACAGGGACACCGACGCGTGACCAGTACCCAACATGACAGGGACACCGACGCGTGACCAGTACCCAACATGACAGGGACACCGACGCGTGACCAGTACCCAACATGACAGGGACACCGACGCGTGACCAGTACCCAACATGACAGGGACACCGACGCGTGAGCAGTACCCAACATGACAGGGACACCGACGCGTGACCAGTACCCAACATGACAGGGACACCGACGCGTGACCAGTGCCCAACAAGACAGGGACACCGACGCGTGACCAGTGCCCAACAAGACAGGGACACCGACGCGTGACCAGTGCCCAACAAGACAGGGACACCGACGCGTGACCAGTACCCAACATGACAGGGACACCGACGCGTGACCAGTACCCAACATGACAGGGACACCGACGCGTGACCAGTACCCAACATGACAGGGACACCGACGCGTGACCAGTACCCAACATGACAGGGACACCGACGCGTGACCAGTACCCAACATGACAGGGACACCGACGCGTGACCAGTACCCAACAAGACAGGGACACCGACGCGTGACCAGTACCCAACATGACAGGGACACCGACGCGTGACCAGTACCCAACAAGACAGGGACACCGACGCGTGACCAGTACCCAACAAGACAGGGACACCCGTAATGTAAAACCAGATTTTCTGCATCAAAATAGCACAGATATTTCCAGGGTTAACTTCTCCGTGCAACCTGTCCTCTCTAATAGTACATCGTATTTTGACGTATAAATCCCCTAGGGCCAAAAACTGATGTACTAAATATCACAGCGGCTCCCAAAAGTGAAGTGATATCCCGTTTTCCATTTGTGGGTTCTCAGTTAGGTTAGGTTCGGGCAATTTAGTACATCAGTTTAGTGACGTTCTGAACACTCGAAAGGCTGGACTGCTCCGTTACCATATAACCAAACCGTTGTTGTTGTTTTAGATTCAGCTACTCTGAACAAAAAGTTCCAAGTATCACGGGCTATGGTGAGCCCGTCGTACTCACCTGGCACAGGAGCGGAACTGTAACTGTCTTTTGGATATATCTTAAACCTTTTTGTTCCATTCTGCTTCCCTGTCTCCGGCCTGACACCAGCCCGCCCTTTACAAGTGAAAACTGAGCAATAATGCAGATCACCTTAAACAAATATGGTTTCTTCAGCTACTGGGGACGGAATGTAGAACGTGTTGACCAGACCACCAACCAGAAGGCCTGGACAGAGACCGGGCTGCCGGGACATTGATCCTGGGAACCACCTGACGGAACCTGTGCTAGCCCTAGATAAGAAATCATAGCTAAATGTGCAATCAAAGGTCTAAATAAGTAATCATAAGCCATACATACACACTCATAAACCAAATTCTTTTCCTGTAGCACGGTAGCCTAGTCCTCGGCTCACAATGATGGACGTGAGTTCACTCCCCAAACAAGACAGACGCGGTTGAGCACATTTTCATTCATCTGATGAACCTGTTCACCTGGCTCAACGGGGTGGGGGTTCTTGAAGTTATCTTGAGATGATTTCGGGGCTTAGTGTCCCCGCGGCCCGATCCTCAACCAGGCCTCTACCCCCAGGAAGCAGCCTGTGACAACTACTACTAACTCCCAGGTACCTATTTACTGATAGGTAACAGGGGCATCAAGGTGAAAGAAACTCTGCCCATTGTCTCTCGGCGGCGCCCGGGATCAAACCCGGGACCACAAGATCACGCGTCCAGTGTTCTGTCCGCTCAGCCACTGGCTCCCTAGGGGGGAGGTGGGGACCTCCATAATCTCAAGTACAGGCTTCTTGACCCTGATAAACGGGATCATATACTAAGCCTAAGAAAAGTAGGCTCCGTTGTTATAGTTTTTCTCGGGCCCAGTACACAATTATAGGACAAGACATGAACCTTGTTTAACAATGCAACAGTTCATATTTTATACATTCCATCCACACTAGCTTAGAATACAAGCATTTGTGTATCAGGCTGCATTAATGGCAAGAATAATAAAGAATCATGTCACTGCCTACAAGAGCAAGTAGGTGTAGCGTCCACCCGTCAGTGAGGACATCCGGTCAGTACCGTTCATTAGCTTCGGAACTGTACACAAATCTCTTGGGTCTACAGATACTTTCCCGCGCTCATGACCTCGTGAAATAATAAACTGTGGAGCAAAATCAGTAAATATGCAAGTCCATTCGCCCGTATTGTGGCTTTGCAAGAAAGTGACGTCAATAATGACAATATATGACCCATTGTCACTTTCTTACAAGTGTTTTAGGACAAATATGACTAAACCCGCCCACCTGAAGTTGAGTGAGGTGAGGGCGGGAGGGCTGGGGTTGTGGCGGCCACCGACAGATGGCGGGTGGCGGCCTGCCAGGGAGCACGCACGCGCACATCAGTCCTCAGTGGTAGCTAGTCCGGTGAGCAGTGCGTGCGGTCTTCTCCTGCTCTTCTCTGGATTTATTGATGAATTTGGTCACTTAAAAGTATACGACGTCTGTGGATTACACAAGAGAAGAGCATCGCCGATACATCTGCAGTGGGATCTTGCATGAAAGGTGAGTATTGGGCCGTGGAGGCGACGAGAGAAGCGCGCGCGGCGGTCACCAGGTGTTGGTGGTGCTGGTGCGGCACCAGGCAGCACCACCACCACTGTCACGGGGGACACCTGAGCCCCTGGTCACGGTCTGGGGGGGTCAGGGGTCACGCCTTAGGTCACTGTGGTGTCTTGATCCGGAGGCCGCCTCGCCACGGCTTGCTTACCCTCTCTAACCCTCTAACACTACTGAATTCCTGGACCATAATATTATCGCTCGCCTGCTTCACTGTGTTTCCTTGTGTCTCCGTATTTCGATTTTCTGAATGACGGGGATTTATATGACTAGGACGGTGGATTTGTGTGGCTGTATGAGACGATGGATTTGTGTGGCTGTATGAGACGATGGATTTGTGTGGCTGTATGAGACGGTGGATTTGTGTGGCTGTATGAGACGGTGGATTTGTGTGGCTGTATGAGACGGGGGATTTGTGTGGCTGTATGAGACGGTGGATTTGTGTGGCTGTATGAGACGGTGGATTTGTGTGGCTGTATGAGACGGTGGATTTGTGTGGCTGTATGAGACGGTGGATTTGTGTGGCTGTATGAGACGGTGGATTTGTGTGGCTGTATGAGACGGGGGATTTGTGTGGCTGTATGAGACGGGGGATTTGTGTGGCTGTATGAGACGGGGGATTTGTGTGGCTGTATGAGACGGGGGAGTTGTGTGGCTGTATGAGACGGGGGATTTGTGTGGCTGTATGAGACGGGGGATTTGTGTGGCTGTATGAGACGGGGGATTTGTGTGGCTGTATGAGACGGGGGATTTGTGTGGCTGTATGAGACGGGGGATTTATATAAGGGCATTTCCCTGGGGAAGCATGTTGAGGTAGGGCCGCTCGGGACGGCTCCACGCGCCAGTCAATACCACACACACTTGCCTTAGTCGTCGCGGGGGGCACGCGGCCACTGTCGTCGCGGGGGGCACCTGGCCACTGTCGTCGCGGGGGGCACCTGGCCACTGTCGTCGCGGGGGGCACCTGGCCAATGTCGTCGCGGGGGGCACCTGGCCACTGTCGTCGCGGGGGGCACCTGGCCACTGTCGTCGCGGGGGGCACCTGGCCACTGTCGTCGCGGGGGGCACCTGGCCACTGTCGTCGCGGGGGGCACCTGGCCACTGTCGTCGCGGGGGGCACCTGGCCACTGTCGTCGCGGGGGGCACCTGGCCACTGTCGTCGCGGGGGGCACCTGGCCACTGTCGTCGCGGGGGGCACCTGGCCACTGTCGTCGCGGGGGGCACCTGGCCACTGTCGTCGCGGGGGGCACCTGGCCACTGTCGTCGCGGGGGGCACCTGGCCACTGTCGTCGCGGGGGGCACCTGGCCACTGTCGTCGCGGGGGGCACCTGGCCACTGTCGTCGCGGGGGGCACCTGGCCACTGTCGTCGCGGGGGGCACCTGGCCACTGTCGTCGCGGGGGGCACCTGGCCACTGTCGTCGCGGGGGGCACCTGGCCACTGTCGTCGCGGGGGGCACCTGGCCACTGTCGTCGCGGGGGGCACCTGGCCACTGTCGTCGCGGGGGGCACCTGGCCACTGTCGTCGCGGGGGGCACCTGGCCACTGTCGTCGCGGGGGGCACCTGGCCACTGTCGTCGCGGGGGGCACCTGGCCACTGTCGTCGCGGGGGGCACCTGGCCACTGTCGTCGCGGGGGGCACCTGGCCACTGTCGTCGCGGGGGGCACGCGGCCACTGTCGTCGCGGGGGGCACGCGGCCACTGTCGTCGCGGGGGGCACGCGGCCACTGTCGTCGCGGGGGGCACGCGGCCACTGTCGTCGCGGGGGGCACGCGGCCACTGTCGTCGCGGGGGGCACGCGGCCACTGTCGTCGCGGAAGGGGGGGTGGGGGGCACGCGACCACTGTCGTCGCGGAAGGGGGGGTGGGGGGCACGCGACCACTGTCGTCGCGGAAGGGGGGGTGGGGGGCACGCGACCACTGTCGTCGCGGAAGGGGGGGTGGGGGGCACGCGACCACTGTCGTCGTTATCTTGAGATGATTTCGGGGCTTTAGTGTCCCCGCGGCCCGGTCCTCGACCAGGCCTCCACCCCCAGGAAGCAACCCGTGACAGTTGACTAACACCCAGGTACCTATTTTACTGCTAGGTAACAGGGGCATAGGGGGAAAGAAACTCTGCCCATTGTTTCTCGTCGGCGCCCGGGGTCGAACCCGGGATCACAGGATCACAAGTCCAGCGTGCTGTCCGCTCTGGTAATAATGATTGCCGTTAATGTACAGGTGTATTAAATTTCAAAATATTTTCAACATTTCACTGTTGTAGTAATTTGTGTAGTTATGGAACTCCTGCAACATTCAGCTTAATATTAGAGTAATGGGACATAGGCCTATACTTGCTAAATATTTATAACAATATAAGACTTATCAAGCATGTTTAATTATACAAAAAAAGCACATGTACATACTTTAACATTGTATAATGACTTCAGGTCATGGAATTTTGATCGAGATTTACCATCGGCAAACCATTATATTATCTTAGCATATTGTGGTCTACGGGGTAAGGCGTGTGTGTGCGGGGTACCCAGGACGCTGGTTCGAGCCCCGTTCTGCTGAAATGAATTTCTCACAATCTCACTGTGACAGTAATTAAGCTTATCAAGATAAGCTGTACACAATATACCGCAGCTCCTTGATAACGCTGCAGATAATGTGTTCTGGACTAGTAATTACCAGCATTGCGCATACGAGATGTGGGGGGGGGGGTAATGGCGGGATGAAGCGTCCCTCTGGAGAGTGTGGGGGCGCTTACTGTGCTGCTCTCTCCCGCCACAACTCTCCCGGTCCCGCCTCCCACCAACACGCCTTCACGCCACAACTTCCGCTAGTCAATCCTGGGATGGTTTGTCATCCACCCCTCCTCCCAGGAGACTGCCTCTCATCCACCCCTCCTCCCAGGAGACTGCCTCTCATCCACCCCTCCTCCTGCCGGGAGACTCCACACCTCTCCTCGCCCTGGAGATGCTTCTTTCCCCCTCGCCGTTCCTCCCCCCTTTACCTTCGCCCGGAGATTCATCCTTCCCTCCAACCATCGCCCGGAGATTAATTCCCCCATTCCCCCTATGAGAATCATCTCCCTGCCTTTGGCCTGGAGACCAACTCCACCATAACATACCAGTTGCAGTGGTGGCAGGTTGTGGCACCTGGCTCTGGGAAGCCTAGTTGTCATTAGTGCGAGAGGTGGCACCTGCCTCGCGGCTGTGAAGGAGCGTCCAGTGATGGGCTTCTCATCAGTTGCCACGATATATGTGACCAGTGTAATTTCTCACTTGCCTCCATCGCGTCCAACAGTGCAAACTTCACCGCTTGAGAATTCCGCACGGTTTCCCAGCATTTGAGAGCAGTGATAATGAATTCTATTTGTTCAGATTTTGGGATGAATGAAAAGGCCGTTAGGTTTTGACAAACTGCTGGAAATTATGTTAAACAATTGTAGCCTAAATTTGTGAATTTTGATCGTCGTCATCTCTTTGGATATTTATAAAAGTGGTTTTGATATCGTTAATGGAGAAAGCTTGGGCAATCTTCAAGCAAAATTATCAAATGTCATTTTATGTATTTAATCATCAGCGTGTCCTGTTTGGTTTAGTTATGATCTTTTCGCGTTAACATTTTGTTATAGTTTACAGTTTATAGCTGTCATCATGATTGTTGTCTCCAGAGTGGGCTAGTTTATTGTGCATCCCATTGTTATCCTGTGAGCGGTAGCGCAAAAACGATTTCAGAGGGCACAAAAGTTCTTTATCAGTCGTATTCCAGGGAACATAGGATAAGGACTTGCCCGAAACGCTACGCGTACTAGTGGCTGTACAAAAATGTAAGAACTCTTGTATACATAAATAAATAAATAAATAAAAATACTTAGCTATTTTAACTATTGAGGTATTACAGGGTCATAGGAAAGCTGGTGTTTGTTATTAGTCGTCACACTACGCTACTTGTTCGCTAGTCTCATACATCACTTATATACTAGAACCGAAACATGGATACAGTGCAAGGATTTCAGATATTTTATCCTTTGTAATAAGATGGTTTGTCACTTCATGCAGCGTGTTTAAATTTATTTCTAGTGGCTTAATTTTATTAGTACAAGATGTAATGCTCTAGTGTGTGTCCCCATGCCACTGTCCACACACTTTACTTCAAGGTCCCTATACAAGCTGAACTGCCAGAGATACCTGTAGCTAAGTCGTGTTCGTGGTGTGACAACGTCTGTTAGTCTGCTGATTTTGTTACCTGCCCCATACACATGTTTTGTTATGTTTTGTTTAACACATTTCATTGTGATGAACAATGGACCTGCCGGTTCCAGTTTACACTATTTAAAGATTTCTTTAAATTAATCTTAGTTCACGTCTCACACTGTTAAACTACCTATTTAATTAAACTCAAGATTCCGTTCAACATTGTCTTTGTTACAATCTTAGCAAGGGCATCAACTTATCGTGTTCATGCAGTCCAATTTGAGAGGGAATCCACATTTTGATTTTTACCACTTTTTAATTAACTATGCGTTCATAACTAAATAGTCTCTTGGTTATTGTTTGTGTGGCCTAATCAGATCGTGAGGGGTTAAAGGTGATGGTACACGCCTAGTTGTGCTAGCGGGGGTTGAGTCTTTGGTCCGGCCAAGGGTGGGGGGGGTTAAGAATGGTTGTGGAGGGTTAGGGTGGCGGTGGGGGGGGGGTTAATGGTTGTGGAGGGTTAAGGGTGGCGGTGGGGGGGGGGGGGGGTTAAGAATGGTTGTGGAGGGTTAAGGGTGGCGGTGGGGGGGGGGGGTTAAGATGGTGAGAGTTCAAAATGTACCAAAATATATTAGATTAGTGTGTTCACGCGCACCTCTCCTCGACCAGTCGACAGAGCAAGTCATCCGTTAGTTAAACTTTGAAACTTTTTAATTAATTTCTACTTAGAAGACCGTTGGAAAAAATTTCCTCTTGTTTAATAATTATAATAATGTATTAACAGGCATTGTATATACGGTTAATAATCTTCACATAATTCCGTAGTACAAAAGTCATTTGCATTTGAAAAATAATTATAAAGTTTGTAGAGCTGAAGACAAGTAAATAAATATTAAATTTAAATTATTGAATAGGCCTAACAGCTGGGATAGAAGGCAACCTAGCACGGTTTCATATCCTGACGAAGCTTCTCATAAGCCTGATTTGTAATATGACAAGACATACTGATTTCAGTGAGAGTTTCACTTTCAGATTTTTTCCCCCTAGAAACTTTATTGGAATTAATAATGTTCTGTTTTGGATGGTATTGAATAACATAAAAAATATTTCAAATGTGAAACATTTAACTCCTGAAAATGGATCACTGTCCATACGCGATCTTCAGTAACTGTGACCTCTTAAGTGAGTTACTTGCCTATTCACAAGTCAATCACAAGAACGTGATCTATCTATGAAAACATTTTTGGAGCAGGAGTTAGATAGGAGTGTCCTCAGTAACCCCAGACGTGTGCCTTAAACATTAAGGGTCTCACACACACCTTGGGAACCGCCCGCTTCATAAGAATTATGGGTTGTGTACGGGTATTGGAAAATTGAGACAAGATGATGTATGCATTGTTTGTGGCAAATACATCATAGGGTGTGTTGGTTATATGCCTTCGTAACGTAATACAAAGCCATTGCTAAGTCTACGGGGCGTAGGCTTATGAATATCGTGATATTTGAACGCTAGTAAAAGTAGAGTTCATTAGGCAGAAGCAACTACAACCTAATGAACAATAATAACTACTGTACATGCAACTGAAAATTTGTGGATTTTTAGTTTTGTTACTGTCGATGTTTTTAATTATATAGCTATAAAATATGATAGGGTAATGCCGGTTATATTTTGTTGCTATATTCTGTTTTCAATTTACCATTAACCACTAAATAGCATGATGGTACGTTCAGCCTCCGCCAAGTAGCCTGGCTATTCAGGTCGTCACTAGGGAGATTATCTTGAGATGATTGATTAGGGAAGCCTAGTTCCAAACTTGTTTTTAGATTCAGCTACAGGAACTAAAAGTCCCAAGTAGCACAGGCTATAGTGAGCCCATAGTGGACTTACCTGGCTGTTGTAACTGAAAGTAACTATGGAACAGGTCATTTAAGTATTCTTCATCCACATAAGCCCAACACGCACATTTTCACCCAACCTCATTACTTTGTTTTCGTCGTTCCTGTCTACACCCGTCAGCCTACCGTCACCATGGTAGTAGGTTGACGGTATGCACCTAGATCATCCAAGTACTCTACCCCTCGTTTTGTTCTACTTTCCCTTTATAACATTTTAGCACAACTTAAATGTAAAAACTTGTCACTCGAACAATAATGTAAAGGTTAGTAACTTAACACGAATTGCAACTATATTATTGTCGGTGGAGGGACTAGGCTAGATGTAGTGTGGACTCCAACCTAGCCACTCCCTGTCGTCCGCTCTGTGTACTTTGTTGAAAGTAAGATTGTCGGTGCAGGGCCACGTACGCTAATGGGCTCTAGCACCCACTCTCTCATGGCCAAGTGTGACGAATTTATTGCATGCAATTTAAAGCCTTGTAAATACATAATAATGTTTTCAAAATTTTGATCAAGGCAGACGTACCGTATTTTAAATTTAATAATTTAATGGGAACACTGCAGAAAACCACCTGGCTCATGCGTTTCAAATCAAATTGTTCGTAATTAGGCACACGTTTAAACTATTTTAAAATCTTGGGAAGGTGTTTGCTTCCGTGGTATTCCTGAACAGCCTATTCCTCCTCGCCTGCGACTCTTTCTGAACAAGAGCTCACCTCTCCAGAGAATGCAACTTCTGTGTTCTTGATCTATCTTCATTTTTCCCGGCATGGTGCCGCCTTTTGTTAATTACTTATCTTCATTCTTCACTGAATCTTTTCAAGGGAGTTGGTCAGCCTGTTGTACGGCGAGCAGAATCGTAGAGCTGGGAAGTTGTGGAATAGCATTCGTGCTTTTATGACTAACACTTGTAGACATAAAGCAAAGAATATACCTTGTTACGAACATTGAACCAACGGGTGGAGGACTGCAGAATAACTAATCACTAAGACAGTAACCACTTTAATTAAAATTCTGCATTCATCAGTACTGATTTTTTTCCAATTGGATGCGGCAATAGCGAATCGTTAATTAGTTAATAACTAGATCTGCTGTTGTATTCTTCTCAGAAACTAATTAATTTGCAATTTTCTCTTAAATGGTATTGCTACTTTTTAGAGATCTATAGATTATTCAGGTCTTCCTGAAGAAGTGTAATCTTAATTTGACTATAATATGCCTTATTTTTGTATCTTCTCCGGATTTAATAACATTGCTTACAACACCAAAATAGAGTAAGTATTATACTATGAAGTAATGCATAAAGAATCCTGGCTAAATCAACTTTTTAGTTTCCAACTGGGCCTTTACCCCATTAATGCTTACTATTGTTCGTCTTTAAGCCATGACTTAGTCCAATTTATTATGTTACTTTTGTTGTCATGGTCTTCCATCTTCCTAAGAAGTCTCGCTTGTGAAATGTTGACATCGACAATTATTTAAGGCACGGACGCCCACTAGTGAATCCATTCAGTCATTAATTTGTTTTTCAAATTTTTATTGTTTAAATTCTACCAGCTGGTAATGTTTCAAGCAACTTCCGCACAATGTCATGCTAATTGTCGGCAATGTAGTAGTGACTTGGTTACCTTCAGTGATTGTGATCCAAATTGTTTGTCTATGGGCACGAGTTTTCACTTCTTAACACTACACTTTGCATTCTCTCACACAAAAACTGCAACGCCGCCACATGATGATAGAATTGTGTGTGTAGCAATTTATAACCTTGAATATAGTACAGTGTGCTGCTAATAGAACATTCTAGTGTTTTTAATTTATATTATCTAGTTTTATACTTTTGTGGATTTAAATCCTTGTTAATATTCCCCCATTGTTTTCTCTAAACACCAATTTGTTTTGAGTCATTTCAGTTCACCATTGTTTTTAAATAGCCTCCAAATATGCATTCTCTC